TTATTTGCTTTTGTGAAGCGCCTCATGATTTTTATCTTGAGAGGCGCTACAGAAATGATACTTTCTTCTTCTTATTTACAGAGACATCGACCCATCGGTTACAGACGATGAAGGGATGAATCATCTGTCTCTGAAAGCAGACAGAACTGATGTTGAACATTCTTACGGAGAAACAGAAGACAGTTTATCCACTTTGCGAAAGCCAGAATATGAAAGCAGCAATGGTTTTGGCCTGGAGATCGCAACTAGTCTACTCAGAGACGTTGAACAATCGGTTTTCCATGAAGAGGATTCTGGATCCCAAACAAGTCTCTCTGTGGCCCATGAAGACGCAGAACCACTGACTGAAAAATCTTTCTTTTTTTTTTCCTTTCTTTTTTTACCGTGTCCTGTCTGGCTGTGAAGCAAACAGAATTGATGTCTGAATGCTGGTAACGAGCCTTACAGATTTACTCTCAGATGGAGCATCTTTCTGATTTTACGTCAGTTGAAGTAACTACGCCAGATTTGGATGTGTTTGACTCAATGGGGGAGGATGCTGGTCTGTCTCTGACTACAGAGAGGAATATTTAGGAGAATCAGGCTGGTCTTTCCACAATTATGGAGGAGAACTTTGGGGAGAATGATGAAATATCACTTTCTTTAGAAGAAAAGGAGGAAATGTCTCCTATTGATGAAGAATTAGAGGAAATAGACAGTGACACATCTGTTTTTTCAGAGGAAGAACTGAGTCAGGGCGACACATGTGCGCTCCAGAGGGCCCTCAGTTGACGCGCAGGTGCGGTCATAGAGATCGGGGTCGGCCGGTGGTGGTGCGGGGGGCGTTCGGCCCCCTCGTCGGTGGGCGACTCGCCGGCCTCGGCTGGGGGTCACCGGCGCCGGCTGTAGTGGAGTGGGATCGGTGATGTCGTCGGCCCCCCCTTCGGCGGGTGGCGTCCCCACCGTAAGGTACTGGGCTTCGGCTGGAGTCTCAGCGCCACCATCAACTCCCCCTTCGGCAGGTGGTGTTCCCACTCCAGGGTGCGGAGTCTCAAGCCTGATTCATGCTTCGTCAGCTCCGCAAGGGACAGACGCGCACGGATTGACGGAAGCGTTTTGCCCTCATACTTCTCCGTCTCCTGGAGAGTGTTGCAAAGCAATTGCCCGGCAGGACAACAGAGGGCGTAGCGCTGTTCTGTGGTATCCTGTCATGTATCCGGTCCAAGATAGTGCGTTTATATTGTGTTTTTTTGTATATAAGAGACTTCTTAACACAGATTTGTCTCTCATCCTCCTCCACCTCTTCATGCGCTCACCACCTCTAAACCCACGTTTTCTGTCATTTCCGTCCACAAATAAAATGCTTGCTGCGTATCTTTTCACTCCTCCAGTCACGGGGGAATTAAACGTTCGTTTTTAGAGTTTTTTTGCGAAGTATTCTTCAAGCTTCTCCGTGTCTGCCGCTAGTTATCCTCGGCTCTGTTTATGTTTTTGAGGGCGCAATGGCGGCGGTGTCGACGACAGCGGCGTAGACGACAGCGGCGTCCTGACCAATCACAAGCTTGCGTTGTCCGTCTCGACTGATGGATGTTTAGAAAAGAGAGCTCGACTCCATCCGTCCTTGTGGAGCTCTCCGGCAGGCCCGCAAGGACCTGACGCAGACGGAGAAGCATGAATCAGGCTTCAGGTGCAGTGCCACTGCAACTGTCAACCTCCCCTAGGGCAGGTGGTTTTCCCACCCCCGGGTGAAATAATCCTGTTGCAGAGATGACACAGACTCTGTGGGTGTCATTGACCTTGGAGGTACTGGACAGACTGGTCACCCTGGCAGCACCGTTGTAGTTAACAACACCCAAAGAGGGAATGACATGCAGCAATAGGCCACGCGTGCATGGCTCAGTCTACTCGAAAGGCACATCCTCAGACTGAGCAGCAATGACAGGCCATGTACGACCTGAAGTTCGCATTATGCTCAGCTCCGTGCCTGGCGCTTCCTGATTGTGACAAAGAGTTCCACCTTGAGGTCGGGTTCTCATCTAACTTCTTCAGTGCCGGTCTTTATCAAGTATATGACTGTGACAGGCGTGTCGTAGCATATGCTAGTAAGCTATTGTCCGGTCCTGAGTTAAAATACTCTGACTGTGAAAAAGCTTTGCTTTCCACCATGTGGGCAGTTAAACACTTTTCCAGCTACATTGGTGGACAGAAAATCATCAACATTGAAACACAACATCGGCCAGTGACCTTCTTTCCACTTCCGGTCGGTAACAAGATGGCGCCTGTGCTTGGCTTAGCCGCAGTCACCGGCCACTTTTTCAAACTTTTCACCACTAACCTCCTGTTTTCCACCTTGCTCCCGTCTGCGATCCTCTTCAGTAGTGTCCCTGCTACCATCTCCTATGATCGCCAGACTCTTTTGTCCTTCCGTTTGTTCACGATCGCCCACGATATTCTGGCTGGTTGAACTCTGCCCGAGTGGTCATTCTTTTCTTAGCCAGCCCCGGGGTTCTGGTCGAGGTGGAGGCCTAGCTGTTGTTTTCAGAGACCATCTTCCACATAGCTCTACAACCTCTGGTCACTGTGCTTCCTTTGAACTGCAGCTGATTAAAGTCGGGCGTAAGGACCCGTTCTACTGTGCTGTGGTCTATCGTCCACCTGGTCCAAACAGTTCTTTCCTTCAGGAGTTTAGTGACTTTCTATCCTCCACTGTGAAGCTGTCCAGACTGGTGATTGTGGGTGACTTTAACATCCACGTTGATGATCCCTCTGATCGCTTTGCTATGAATTTCTCCAGCCTTATGGACTCTTTACCCAGCATGTTTCTGGCCCCACACACACCAGGGGGCACACGCTGGACCTTGTTTTTACTTCTTATCACCATTGCATTTTCTTTAACTTGTCAGTTTTTGCGTCCCCACCTCCTGCTCGCCGTATGGTTAGTTCTTGTTTTCTTAATGAGAGCATAGCTAGAATTTTTTCTTCTGCTTTTGATCCACCCTGTTCTTCTGATAACGACCCAGATTCCTTAACTTCTCAGTTTAACGAGCACTGCCTCTCCATTCTGGACAACATCTGTCCTGTCAGAACCAAATCAGTTCCTGCAGTGAACCCTACTCCCTGGTTTAATGACAGCCTTCGCAGCCTAAAGCGCCAATGCAGAAAAACTGAGCGCTTGTGGAAGAAAACCCATCTCCACGTCCATCTGCTGCACCTAAAAGATCTTCTGACATCCTTTAACTCTGCAGTCAGAGACGCTAGGGTTTCCTATTTCTCCAACCTGGTGTCCCAGAGCAAAGGGAACCCCAAGGTGCTGTTTAACACCATCAGCAGCATCGTCTCTCCTGTCTCTCCTACATCCTCCATCCACTTTGTTGATGACCGTGAGAACTTTCTGTCTTTCTTTGTGGACAAAGTCAATAAGGTTAGATGTAGCATCTCTCCTTCAGCCTTATCGCTGCCTCTCCCGACTCCAGCCAGGCCCATCATCCTAGATAGCTTTGCTCCTGTTTCTTTGCCTGAGTTAACCAAACTAGTTAACTCTATGAAGACCTCTGCATGCCCCTCGACATCTTACCCTCATCTGTGTTTAAAAGTGCTTTTCAGTCCATCGGTCCCAGCGTGCTCTCTATAATTAATGCTACTCTGGTCTCTGGTCAGGTCCCTGCTTACTTTAAGAACGCTGTAATCCACCCGCTTCTTAAAAAACCGAGTCTCGACCCCTCTCTTCATAGCAGCTTCAGACCCATCTCTAAACTTCCGTTCATCTCCAAGATCTTGGAAAAGGTTGTGGCTAAACAACTCACAGCTGCTCTTGATGAACAGAACATCTATGATAGCTTCCAGTCAGGTTTTCGTAGAGCTCATTCTCCTGAAACAGCTCTTCTTAGGGTCTCTAATGACCTTCTGACTCAGTGATGCAGGGGACTGTTCTGTTCTGGTCCTGCTGGACCTAACTGCCGCGTCAGGCATAAACCAACCTTAACCTAGGGGAGGTTGCAGTGGCACTGCACCTGAGACTCTGCACCCTGGAGTGGGAACACCACCTGCCGAAGGGGGAGTTGATGGTGGCGCTGAGACTCCAGCTGAAGCCCAGTACCTTGTGGTGGGGACGCCACCTGCCGGGGGGGGTGGGGGGGTGGGGGGGGGGGGCTGACAACATCACTGACCCTACTCCTACAGCTGGTGCTAGTGACCTCTAGACCTGAGGTTGGTGACTCGCCTACCACAGGGGGAAGGTTGAATGTCGCCCTGTACCACTACTGGCTGACCCTGATCTCTCTGACTGCACCTGCGCGTCGACCGAGGGCCCTCCAGAGCGCTCACCTGTTCTGAGACATTGCATTCACCCGCAAACAAACACTTCATATTAGATTCATCCAAACATAGGGTTGCTTTTTTAATACCAAAGTCTTTTTAATATCAAAGTCTTTTATAAATTGTCATGTTTTATAATTGTTTAGTAATAAATTTCTTAACCATCTTAAACTTGACTCTTTCTTGAAATAAACACAGAGTGGGTGTACATTGATCACTGAACAGGCAAAGATCTTTAGATCTTCTGAGTTAACAAATAATCTTTGCTATTAAATTAAATCTTTAGAAATAAATACAATCTTTTGATTACTAAACTAAACTCTAAAGCGTCAGCCACATCTGGAAAATACCTGAAGGGAATGAACAGGGGTGGGGTGGGGGTGGGGGGAGGGGGGGTGGGGGTTCAGAAGAAAATGAACTTTTTTTCACTTAGGAAGTAAAAACAACAAAATCTCTAGTAGAAAGTACATGTACACATACTCTATATGTCTATAAGTTTAGGCCCACTTGGTGACTTAGAACTGAGAAGCTGTGTAGATTTCACAAGCAAGTAGAAAAATAGAAGCAAGAACAACAACAAAAAAATATTTTTGTAAAATTTATATTTTTCTATCAAATCAAATAAAATAGAATACAAATATATACATATAAAATATACATACATATATATAATATAAAATTAAAATAAATAAATAAATAAATTGACATTAAAAAGCCAAAAAAAAAAAAAAAACATCCCTCCCGCAGAATCGCCACCTTATCGTGGTGGGAGGGTTTGAGGACCTCCATCGTCCTGGAAGCTGTGTAGTCTGGTTCATTAGCCCCTGTTAGGGTCTCCATGGCAACATGGTCTCAGGTAGGCGGTCGGACTAAGCATGATTCAAACACCTGAAGATTAGACCTCCGCTATGTGGAGGGTGAGATCGAGGTCTTCCATGTAGAGGAGGCGCTATCCATGGCCAGTCTTGTGGATTATCTGGTAGACGGGGATCTGACCTCTGCAGAACAGCAGTGGGGACAGGGCGTCTCCTTGGTATTAGCCAAGTCAGTTAGCCATTCAGAGTGAGTCCCATCATTTAGCAGCTGCATCATTTGTGCTGCCAGGCACTCATGGAGTGCAGTGAGCTTCTTAAGCCAGTAGGCGTGTCATGTCAGGTCCTGGAGCTGTCCAGTTCTTCAGACCTGAGGCTCTTTGTTGGATGTCTGCCACAGTGATGGATACTGGGTTCTGCTCAGGGAGGTTGCTGTGGTCTTCTCTAGAGAGACTAGCCCCTTTGCATCACTGTTCAGTCTCCAGCCTTAGTGAACACAAACTGTCAGAACACACACACACACGGTCAGAACACACACACACGGTCAGAACACACACACATACACACGGTTAGAACACACACACACACACACACACACACACGGTCAGAACACACACACATACACGGTCAGAACACACACACACACACACACACACGGTCAGAACACACACACATACACGGTCAGAACACACACACACACACACACACACACACACACATGGTCAGAACACACACACACACGCGTATGGTCAGAACACACACACTAATCTTTCCAGATCCTCTTAGGTGTGTTCTTGCTGTGCGTTATTTCTAATTCCATGTTGTCGTTCTTTTTTAAAACACAGAGACGGTTTTGTTACATGTTGTTGATGCTACGTTTCGCCGACGGCTGCCGGCTTCTTCAGGCTGACGCTGATGGTGGCGCGTCACTTCCTTCTCCGTTTATCTTTCCAGTTCCTGTTTTAAAGCGGGTTAAATCTTTCTTCAGAGGCCAACAACAAAAATAAAAAACAGTAATTCTCTTAAATGAAAATGTAAAATCTCACCTATTAACTTTCATGCTTTGGAGCAGAAAAAGTGCATAACACCCACAATATCTCAAGCTCAGTTTGCTCCACTCTGATATACTGTGATGCTCACCTGTTCAAACCAGACATCTGCATCTCTGGGGTTGGGAGGAGGGTCCTTCAAGACTGTTGGAAAACCATTTCAGGTGAGAAACTCATCAAGAGCGTGCAAAGCAGTAATCAGAGCAAAGGGTGGCTTTTCTTGAGAAAATGGAAAATAAAACACGTTTTCAGTTATTTCACCTTTAAACTCCACATCATAGGTTTGATGCCTTCAGTGAGAATCTCCCAATGTAAACGGTCAAGATAATAAAGACAGCACATTGAATGTGAAGGCGTGTCCAAACCTTTGGCTTGTACTGAATAAAACAAAGTTTACAAAATAAACATTTGTATTTTTCATTTAACAATTGGCAATTTCAGCCAATCTGACATTAATCAGATGTATTTGTTAAATAAGCAGCAATAAAATATAATTTTTTCTTATTCTGTCAGCATAATAATAACAGTAACAGATGTTCTAAGAGGCGGTTCTACTTGTTTTTGTTGGCATCGAGCCGCTCTGACTGAACATAAACCAGCCACCAGTATGGCGCTGTTTCCTCGTGTAAAACTGGGTTTCTGGGTTCTGAGGTTCTGATCGGAATCTTTGATCTAGTTGACTTCCTGATCACCAGTTCCTCTGTGTGTGTGGAGTCATGCTGGAGTCGTGTTTGAGGTCAGGGCTGGAGTGGGACTTATTTTCTGCTCTGGAGTTTCAGGGTTCAGACCGGTGTTCTCCGTCTGAGAGGAGGGCCAAGATGGCAGCGTGACGAGGCGGATTCTTACGAGCTCTCAACACTAGATGATAATAAGTCATATCTTCAGTGCCTTTTTGACGTTTATCCTGCTTCCAAGCTTCTTTGAAGATTAGTGTGGTTAGTGTGCAAGGCACTATAAGGAACAACAACATGTCAAAATCTGTTCAGGAGAGGTTACGCACCTCGAGCTAACAACTAGTGGCTAGCGTGCTAGCTAGCAACCAAACTATCTAGAAATAAAAACGGACGAACAGCAGATGGCAGAGGACTTTCCTCCTACCAATAACGCCATCCAAACCTAGCCTACCCTAACCCTACCTACTACATCACTAAAGTCAGTTGGTTGCAATATTTTAGGAACCATGACTCGATCTGGACTGGGGCAGCCTACATAAACCCTAAATAAATGCATGAGAGGAATTCTTAAGAACGAAGCTCATTTTCCTCTGAACACAAGTTATGGAAGTGCTTGTCCATCGTTTGCGTTAGAGGCGCCGTTCCCTCTCGTCTGCCTGATTGCAGGGGCGGGCCCCTCCCAAGCCCTGGCCGGGGGCTCGCTGCCCTGAAGCTCCACCCCTGACGTGAAGAAGGAAAGTCTGCCTACTTTGTTGACGGCCGACGTTTCTTGAACGGAGCCGAAATTCACATATAAACTTTAAATCACACCAAGAACCTCAAGTCTTCTCAAACCCTCTAGATCAGGGGTCGGCAACCTTTCCCCATCAAAGAGCCATAATTACCCATTTCCCACAGTAAAGCCGGGCGTACACTGTGCAACTTTTTCACTTTTTTGAGCCGATTTTCCACTCCTGCGAGAATCCACGAGCTCGGGGCGAGTTTTGCGCCGAGCATCGTGTAGTGTACAGGAGGTTACGAGAGGCAATTAAAACCACGTGACCAGCTACCGATCAGCAATCGTGAGCTCACACAGACTTCTGGCGTGTTTAATATTTTGCTCGTCCCTTGTGAGGGTATTGCACTGTTGAAGCAGCGCTGCGAGCAGCTGCGACCCAAAATGTATCAGAACCGCTCACGGCGCATGCACAATCCTGCATCAACACCGCTCGCCCGCTATTTCCCTAATAACACACGTTGTTCGTTTTAATTTCTACACGTTTTTTTACTCACAAAGATTGTCAAGAAAGCGTGTTTGTCGTGTTCATGTCAAATTAAACTGATCACAAAACACAGATTTACTTTATTTCGTTTTCCTCATCCAACCCGCATAAATCCCTGTGTGTCCCCCTGCAGCACTCCCGAAGGACAACAGGCAAAACAAGACAAAAAAAGTCTGACGTGTTGAGTAAAAACTGCTATTTTTAGCATATTTTTAGGTCCGACGTGTTGCTACCAGACGTACAGTGTGAGCAGTCAGGTCGCATCCGAGAACTGGGTCGTGCAGTGTGAGCGCATGACTCGTGAGATCTGCCCTGCGAGGAAGTCGTACAGTTTGAGCTGAAGCTGAGAGCTACGAGTGAAAAAGTCGCACAGTGTACGCCCGGCTTAAAGGAAACACTGGGAGCCGCAGCAGCCGCAGCGTTGTGGGCGGGGCCTACCCTCTGACAGCAGAGAGCTGCTTTAACCGATCACAACAGGTGACAGCGACAGCAACCAATACTAGTCGCTCATGTACCTCAAAGTTGTCTTTCAACAGAAGATAATTAATAAAACAGTTTGTTTAAAATTGATCCAAAAGTTGTAGCCCGTCTGTGCTACAATATTTTGATTTTTTTCACCCTGCTAGTGGTTTTAATAGTTGAGCAGGTGACGCTTTTTGAGGCATCACACATAACTGTTCAGAATACAAATCCAGGCTCTGTCTCGTTGGACTGTTGTAATTCAACTTTGTACTGAACTAAACTTTGCATTAAACATTGCTGAAAAGGCAAGAAAAGGCTATTAGTTTTTTCCATCGTTTACACTGACGGAGATAACGGCGCAGTGTGCGTGGCTCTGGTGTTAATCAGGTTTAATGTTTCTGTTTGCAACTATCTTCACTAGAAGGTAAAATGGTTAAATGACAGGATTCGCACTGACCCGATGTTTCCCGTATTTATTTTGACGGAGAAATCTCAAGCCTGCAGATGCGCTGACATTTTAACGCACATCGTGGAGGTAGCTACATCAATCAGGAAAAGATTCCCATCAGAACATCTGAGATGGACACTGAGCTCAGCACAGCTCACTGTCAGCGCGCGTAACGTGGAGAGCGAGCTGAAGATAGATCGGGGGCTTGGAACGCATCACAGAACCAGATTCTGTGTTTTCTAAACCCAGTCTCTCAGAGATCTGACTTTTAAAAAATGTTCCCTGATTATGAATCTTCGGCTGAATAGCGCTTGTTCCTGTCTCCAACACTGCATCCATGAGCCTGTCTGAGGAACAGTCCAGAATCTCCTCTTCAGCTCAGAAAGCTCAGAGACATTTGATTACGCACAAGCAGGTGACCTGGTGACGTTTACGCAGATAATCTTTAAATTTAGAATTGGCTACAGATGAAAACATGAATAAAATACATTGTAATTAAATAATCCTTAATTAGTTTACAAGCAGAGTCTAGGGAGCCGCATCAGATGGATGAAAGAGCCACGGGTTGCCGACCCCTGGGTTAGAGTATTTTGAGCCAGAGGTTGCACAAGTTACTCTGCTTTCCTTACGGTCTGAGACCACAGTTCCTGTTTCTGTTGTCCCAAGAATAGAGCCATACTCATTTTTACTTAATGCCATTCTCACACTTCCTTCTCTAGGTGGTTGTTAAAGACTGTACCCACTTTCTCTAAACGTTTGCTTATCAAATCACATGTTTCTGCAGACAAAGCAATACAAGCATCCATTTTTTGACAACATCTGAATTAGTGGCATTACCTTGACAAAGAGACTTATGTGTTGTGCACTAGAGTTCGTTTAGTTTTGACATTATTCTCAGTTCATCAAGCTCTTCAGTTGTACAGAAAGTTTTTAGCCGTGTCCTTGTTTCTCTAGCAAACTCTCTCCCAAGTGTCATATGCCTCAAAAGGCTTTATGAAACGTCTTATTTTGTTGCTCTTGCATTTCTTTACCCTTTTCAGTTAGCTCGTGTTCTCTTGAGCTTGTTCTGAGAGGTTGTTTGTCCATCTTCCTCAATCAGAAAACCTTTACCTTTGGTTTAAACTCCAACTCCAAGCCTGGAGTTGGACTGAGTAAAGGACAAAACTCCTTTACTCAGTTTGTGAAGCCTTTAAGGAGGAAGAAAAGAGGGGCAATTATGGTGATTCTGCACCAAGCTGCATCCGCCTCGAGCTGCTGTGTCAACAGGTCCTCCCAAAAGCTGGATGATGGTAGGCTTTCCACTGGCCACTGGTCAAGTTTTCACTGTAGCTGCCCCTGGCACCATGAAGAAAAGAACGGAGAGCCTCGACGGGTGCATAAACTTTTAGTTTCTCTGGTCCATTTCCTTGGACTTCACTCCATGAGTTGCACCGTGAAAACTGTTTAGAGATATACAAAGCATAAATAAAAGGTGAACAAAACTTCTATGTCATAACAGAAATAGATCATATTCTCACATTTACCTTGCTGCGCTGGCCAAGGGTGCTAAACAAAACAATAGTTCCTCAAATCTGCTTTATCTGTAGACTAGGTGATGGACAAGAACAAGAAAAACAAACAATGACTATAGAGTGTCAAACTAATAACCCAAACAAAAGCGTCAATACAGCAAAACTTACGTGGGGATGCAGTCGGCAATGTGCAGCTGAGGTGAATTTAGGCTAAAGACATAATTTCAATACTTCAAACCGTGTTATCTTCTCTACAAACAAATTAACCCAAGCAGTTTTCTCTGGAAGGGTGTGGCTTATATAAATTCTGTGAGCCGATTAAGGGTCATCGCCATCAGCTGCTCAGCTGGCAGCTACACCATCAGGCATATATATGTAACCTAGGCAACGCTGGAGCTGCAGAGCTCCAGCGTCACACAGGGATTCACAACGACACAGGTGGAGAGCGAGGGTGCAAAACCAGAGGGACAGAGACACCAGAGAGCAGAAGTTTGTCTGCGACCTCTTTTCTTAACTAAATAAAAGCCCCCGTCTAAAAATCTACCACTAAAAAGTTTGAGCCCATAAAAGCAGTTTAAAACATGTCCTTCAAAAAGACCCCAAAAGATAGTTGGGCTCCTCCCAGATCCACAACGTCACGTGGAGGGAATTTCCAGGATGGGAAAGGTGGCGTCCCGGCTTCAGCGTCCGACTCCAGCAGTCTCTGGTCTCGCTCTCAGCAAGCACTCGTCTCAGGCGTGATCTCCCGGGGACTCTCGCCGCTCCTCCCTGACAAGGACAGAACACTGGGGCAGAACTTTTGTCTGTGACGCAGTGCAATCTCTTTCTCGTCGGATCGGCCCATACGGCGCGTCACCCAGCATACAACAGAGGAAGCCGTTCACTCACGGATGCAGGCAGAGGTCCAACCTCTGCCCTGCTGTCATTCAAAGGCGTTGCTCCCACTCGTCGCTGCGCGCCAGGGATGAACCGGTCCTCCTGTGATCCAACGCGTTCTGTGCTACGTCCACCTATTAGTCCAGTCCCTCTGCCTTCTTGTTTCTTTGGTCTCTTTTTCCTCTCTCCTCCCGCAGTTCTGCAGCTTCTTCCCTTTATCAGCCTGCTAACTATGCGCACCCGGTGCGCTCTCCCAGTCACGCCCACCTCTTCAGGTGACTGTCATGTCAACAGTGGCAAAACAATCTAAACTAAACAGGCACATAAAACCAACAACACACGACAAAATCATGCAATAACACAAAACTGTTTAAGAAATTCCAACAATTAATAAAATAATTTAAATCAACAGAAAACACACATTCCACTGTGTGACATCCCCCCATATTTTAACTGTGATAGTCCCTGATACATCACACCAGTGGCCGATAACGGGCTGGTGGCTGACCAAGGTTAGACCTTGCGGAACGCCAAAGTTCTGGCAGTCCTTCAGGCTGCAAAATAGGCACGTTGGGCATAACACAATAGAATGGAGGCTCAATTACCGTCTCAACCCCCGGGCCTACCTCATCTATCAGTTGGATACTGTCCACTGCTGGGGAGGTGCATAACTATAATGCATTTCGGTAAAGGACTCTCTCTCTTCCCCTTTTCTCTGGCTGCACTTTATACACCACACCTGTATCCCCAACTCTATCCACTACAACATGTGGTTCTGAGGCCCAACCTGGGTGCAACTTTCCTTGCCCCTGCCTGTTCCTGTCCCTAATCCAACCCCTCTCTCCTGGTGCTAATGGCAGAGCCTGTGCCCTTTTGTCATAGACCTTCTTGTTTTGGTTGACAGCAGCCACCATTTTTCCTTGCTGTTTCATAAGCAAAAGATAATTTTTGGTGGTGGTCTCTAACCCATCCTCCAAGATCATTACAAAGTGATCCCTGTTCCACTCCTAGGTTGACATCCACTGGCTGTCTCAAATGCCGCCCAAACATTAGGTATGATGGAGCGTACCCTGTGGCGCTGTGAACTGTGTTATTGTATGCCTGCAACAGCTCGGGGAGGAGTTCTGGCCACCTCTGCTGTCTCTCTGCCTCAAGTGAATGCAACATATGCAGTAGTGTCTGGTTCAGTCGTTCAACCCCTCCATTTCCAGCAGGATGATATGGTGTGGTTTTACTCTTTGTGATGCCATGACACCTGCATAACTGATACATTAGTGTAGACTCTAAACTAGCCCCTCTATCTGAAAGTAGCCTGGCAGGACAGCCAAAAGGCTGGATCACGAGTCCATAGGGCATGTACTGTCATCTGTGCGGTCCGATCTTTAGTGGGAACTGCCCATGCATAGTGTGTGAAAAGATCAGTCATAACCAAAATATTCTAATATCGGTCTGTGGGCCTCCCTAATGTGAGGTAGTCCAGGGCCACAACCTCCAGAGGATACGAGACCACAATAGGCTTTAGTGGGGCTCTAGGCTGATCTCTATTTCGCAGGCTACAGGCAGCACAACCTAGATGGAACCCACGCACCTCAATCTCCATCTATAAAGTTATTAATTTAATGCAAACACAGCTAACATTTTTCAAAATATGCTCTAACAACACTTAAATATCGGTAACAAGTCCTATTGATATATTAACTAAAGGTTAAAATGACTTTAAGTGCAGAGCGGTGTCACGATCTGCCCCTGCCCGCCTGACTGTGTTCCTCTCCTGCCATGATTACCCTTATTGTTCTCACCTGTCCCTCGTTTACCTGCCCATGTTTCCCTAATTAGCCCTCTGTATTTATACCACCTCTTTTGCCCCTGTCCTTTGTCAGTTCATTGTTGTTGTTTGTTGGTGTTCCTGTTCATCCCATCCTGCCATTAAACCATTTTTACTTTTACTGAAGCCTGCATTTTTACCTCCTGCTCAGCTCATCCACACATGGTCTGCCGTCTCCACCTCCTACACCATGACAGAATGAACTGGCCAACCTGGACCCGTGGTGAGCACGTCTACATCTCCCTGGAAGATTTATTTTTACTTTTTTTTCCCTTTAGCAGAAGGAGATTCTGGCCCAGGGTGTTGGCGCATCCTACCTGTTCTCCGGGGTGGTCAAGCCTCTGGGTGGGTTTTCGGCGCATCCAGTTCGTTTCCTGTGGTGGTCAAGCCCTTCTCCTCTCCTGCGTTTTGCCCCCGTCCTGTTTTTTTTTTCATGGAAGCTGCGGATCCTGGAGCTTTAATGGAGTTACACCCCCTACGCACGCCATCGTTCTCCGGGGTGGTAGGGCTGGTCTCCCCGCTCTTCTCCTGCTTCCCTGCATCCAAGCCTCTTCCTGAGATCCAGCTAATCGTGCCGTGCACCTGCTTGGACCGGCTGTCGAGTGCCTCCCGCCGATCCTGGTTTTCTGGCGTCGCTTCTGCAGATTGCCCACTTCCTGGTCCACGCTGTGGGGCTTATGCCTGCAGGTCTCATGCTGCTGCAGCCTCTGCTGGGTCCCACGCCTGCTCCTGCAGTTCTCTGCCTGGGTCCCACGCCTGCTCCTGCAGTTCTCTGCCTGGGTTCCACGCCTGCTCACGTCCAGCCAAGTCAAGTCTTCACGTCCAGCCAAGTCAAGTCTTCACGTCCAGCCAAGTCAAGTCTTCACGTCCAGCCAAGTCAAGTCTTCACGTCCAGCCAAGTCAAGTCTTCACGTCCAGCCAAGTCAAGTCTTCACGTCCAGCCAAGTCAAGCCTTCACGTCCAGCCAAGTCAAGCCTTCACGTCCCGTTCCAGCCCAGTCAAGCCTTCACGTCCCGTTCCAGCCCAGTCAAGCCTTCACGTCCCGTTCCAGCCCAGTCAAGCCTTCACGTCCAGCCCCAGCCCAGTCTAGTCAAGTCCCGTTCCAGTCCAGTCTAGTCAAGTCCCGTTCCAGTCCAGTCTAGTCAAGTCCCGTTCCAGTCCAGTCAAGCCTTCACGTCCCGTTCCAGCCCAGTCAAGCCTTCACGTCCAGCCCCAGCCCAGTCTAGTCAAGTCCCGTTCCAGTCCAGTCTACGAGTCCCCGTCCGGTCCCTGTCATGTCAAGTCTTCGAGTCCCCGTCTCCTGTCAAGTCTTCGAGTCCCCGTCCGGTCCCCGTCTCCTGTCAAGTCTTCGAGTCCCCGTCTCCTGTCAAGTCTTCGAGTCCCCGTCTCCTGTTGTATAGCCTTGTGGGTGTCTGGTATCCGCCCTTGGGGGGGTGGGGGGGTGGGGGGGGGGGGGGTACTGTCACGATCTGCCCCTGCCCGCCTGACTGTGTTCCTCTCCTGCCATGATTACCCTTATTGTTCTCACCTGTCCCTCGTTTACCTGCCCATGTTTCCCTAATTAGCCCTCTGTATTTATACCACCTGTTTTGCCCCTGTCCTTTGTCAGTTCATTGTTGTTGTTTGTTGGTGTTCCTGTTCATCCCATCCTGCCATTAAACCATTTTTACTTTTACTGAAGCCTGCATTTTTACCTCCTGCTCAGCTCATCCACACATGGTCCGCCGTCTCCACCTCCTACACCATGACAAGCGGCTTCATAGTACACCTACCTCCACCAGCTTTCATTACTAATTTGGTGGGAGGGGCCGTGAATGCGCCTGAAGGACCCGTTGCATGCAGTTGTGCCTAACCACCAGTAGGCGGCTCCAAAACTGCAAACAATCACTGCACATCACTTTTGGTGAAATTCACATTTTCATCTCTGTTACATTCGCGTGACAGCGGGACATCCCAAAGGTCTGCTGTTAAGCATCAGTACAATGTGCCCTGTTATATGTTGCATATGTGTATGTATATAACTGTAAATAAGAATGTGTGTAAATATGCTTTTATTGTGAAAAGGACAAAAGAGGAAGTGAGGATGACATCATAATTAGATGACCAATGAAGGACATGTATGTTGAATGTGTGTAAATATGCTTTTAATGTGAAAAGGAAAAAAGAGGAACTGAGAATGACATCATAATTAGGTAACCAATGAAGGACATGTATGTTGACCTC